GTATAATTTATTAAATGGTAAGAATAAATAAATATATATAGAGAGAGAGAATAGATATGTAATTCTTTATTCATTGTTTCAAATAGTGTATGTCATTTTTTATTATGTAAAAATATTGTATGCTAATTCTACAAAATAAATTAGATATTTTTATTCGCATATTTCACATACACAACTATAAATTTATTTTATAACCTGAAAATAAATATGATATATGGTATTTAAGTAAAAATGAGTTCATGCCTTTTTATTTTATTAGTTTATAAAATAATAAATAAGTATGTATCTTTTAATTTATAACATTCAACATTTCTATGAATTTCAAAAGAGTTTCTTATCGATTTACTGTAGAAAAAAAATAATCAAAAAACAAAAGGTATATCTAATAATGAATAATCATTTCAGTACATATTTATGCACTAATATTGACAAATATATAAATTATTTTCAGATAAGTCTTTGTATGCACATATATTTCCATACATTAAACATGTGCTAATTCTGAGCACATACAAACGTGACATATATTATAAAACACTAAAATTGTTTTATTCACATAATGTAATATGTTATAAATGTTATTATAATCAATAAATTATGATAAAGAATATATTTTAAAATAAAAAAATATAATAACCTAAAAAATATAGATATTGTTTTTTAAATACATATATTTAATGATTCACCTTCAGATTCCTTGCTTCCCAGTTCGGATAAATCAAGGACATTTTGCCTTTTATATTCGGTGAAACAAATAAATATATCACCCCTATTGATGTTGATTAAAAACAACTTTACAGAATTATAAGGACAATTTTTATTTTAATTTGTGTTTTCTTTTTTTTTATAATTTAATAATTCACAAGATTTATTAATATAAAAATGTATACCGTTGAATACAGTATAAATATCTCCATAAGTTATATAAAAATAAAATTATTTAAAGGTTCTTAATCACATTTTATCGGAATCTTGATTTTATTTTATCTAATATGAACTCCTTTTTTAGTCTAGCAAGAATAATATATGTTCATAATTCCAAAGAAATAAAGGTATTATTTTTCTAATAAATATATTTGTGAATAAAAAAATATATTATAAAAGAGTATTGTTTATAACTCTATTTAAATTATTATGAACATTATATATTGTGCTTGATCATCTAATATATTATTATGTATAATAATTTTTTTCATAGAACAAGTTAAACCTTTATAAAAATTGTCTTCTAATTATCATGTGAACAAAGGTTTAAAATATTTTTTATATTTTGTTATCTTGTAATTAGTAAAAATCTATATATTAGTACATTCATATATGGTCCATTTTATATATCATATATTCCCAATTATACATGAGCAGGAATATACATAGATTCAATAAAATCAGAGTAACTCATTAATAACATTAAAAATCTTATTGTTACTAAAAATTCAATATATGATATTTATAAATAATTTAATTATTTTATATAAAATATAAAATATCAATGAAAAAGCTTTTGTTTAGAAAAACAATAAAAAAAAAATTTTATTCAATATATATATATACATATTTCGTGTATAAAAAAATATACGTTTTAAATAAACTATTATAATTTTATTTTTATTTTTAATGGAATATTATTTGTTTAATCCTTCGGAAGTTATATTTATTAATTATATTCTTGTTTGTTATCAACACATAATAAATATATTCAAAATAATCCTAATGTACATGGATATATAGTAAGAAAAAATGTATATTTTAAAACACTTATTTTATCAAAAATATGTAATATAACTATATTTTAAATAAAAAATATTAAAAATATTTACAATTACGTACGTTTTAAATGTTAAATATTATGTTAATAATTTTGTACTTCATAAACTGTGTTTCATCGTTAATTTATTGTTTAAATGAGATCATACTATTAATCAAAAGAGTTACATACCTGATATAAATTATCCATATTGTTGCAATAATAAATTATTATATATATTTATTACATCAGTATAGATAAAAAATGAAATATATAATTATATTCTAGGAACACTTAATTCCATAAATCAGTATGTATTTACAAAGTATATGAATTAATTTTTTTACAAAAAAAGTGCATTTATATATATAT